GAGTTGCCTGTACGTCTGGTAGTGTTGCCTGTACGTCTGGTGGTGTTGCCTGTACGTCTGGTAGTGTTGCCAGTACGTCTGGTGGTGTTGCCTGTACGTCTGGTGGTGTTGCCTGTACGTCTGGTGGTGTTGCCTGTACGTCTGGTAGTGTTGCCAGTACGTCTGGTGGTGTTGCCTGTACGTCTGGTGGTGTTGCCTGTACGTCTGGTGGTGTTGCCTGTACGTCTGGTGGTGTTGCCTGTACGTCTGGTGGTGTTGCCTGTACGTCTGGTAGTGTTGCCTGTACGTCTGGTGGTGTTGCCTGTACGTCTGGTGGTGTTGCCTGTACGTCTGGTAGTGTTGCCTGTACGTCTGGTAGTGTTGCCTGTACGTCTGGTGGTGTTGCCTGTACGTCTGGTAGCCAGTCAGGGGCTGCCTGAACCCATCACGTGACGTCTGTGCTCCTTGAAGGAGACGAGAAGAGATGTACGTGATGCTACATAGCGTGGGAGAGGCGTGGGAGGGGCGTGGGAGGGGCGTGGGAGGGCATGGGAGGGGCGTGGGAGCGGCGTGGGAGCGGCGTGGGAGGGGCGTGGGAGGGGACCCACCGGCCGGAACAAACGTGGCCTGGAACGGATGGGAGAGGAGGGAGAGGAGTGAGATGGGTTGCTTTACCTTTCCCAGTAAGAGAGTTGTAAACAAAGCTTTAGAGGGGAGACTGTTGTAAGAGAGAGAGAGAGAGAGAGAGAGGAGAGAGAGAGAGAGAGAGAGAGAGAGAGAAGACTCAACGTTAGCGATGTAGTGTGTGTGTGTGTGTGTGTGTGTGTGTGTGTGTGTGTGTGTGTGTGTGTGTGTGTGTGTGTGTGTGTGTGTGTGTGTGTGGTGTACTCACCTAGTTGTACTCACCTAGTTTGTGTTTGCGGGGGTTGAGCTCTGGCTCTTTGGTCCCACCTCTCAAACCGTCAATCAACAGGTGTACAGATTCCTGAGCCTATTGGGCTCTATCATATATACTCACTTGAAACTGTGTATGGAGTCAGCCTCCACCACATCACTTCCTAACGCATTCCATATGTCAACCACTCTGACACTAAAAAAGTTCTTTCTAATATCTCTGTGGCTAATTTGGGCACTCAGGTTCCACCTGTGTCCCCCTAGTGCGTGTTCCCCTTGTGTTAAATAGACTGTCTTTATCTACCCTATCAATCCCCTTCAGAATCTTGAATGTGGTGATCATGTCCCCCCTAACTCTTCTGTGTGTGTGTGTGGTGTGTGTGTTTGTGTGTGTGTGTGTGTGTGTGTGTGTGGTGTGTGTGGGTGTGTGTGTGTGTGTGTGTGTGTGTGTGTGTGTGCGTGCGTGTGCGTGCAGTGTGCGTGTGTTGAGTGAGGTGGGGGAGAGGCCTGGCATGTTTGAGGTGAACTTAAGTCAAGAGAGGAAAATAATTTTGTGCGGGAGTAGACAGTTGACGGGAGGTGGCATAGGACCAGGACGTGGACAGAGAGACGGAGGGACAGGAAGGAAAGGAGGGAGGGATCAGGATGAGGACAGTTATGGGACGGAAAATGACAGGCACTTCACGAGAGGTAAAAGGGACGTTACCCATCCCTGGGAGTGAGAAGAATATCTACACTGAATGAGGGATTAATTATGGGTGTCTCAGGGGCTAGGAACATGGGGGAAGAATGGGGGGTAATTATTTACCCATGGGACTGTAGATATATGAAGTAAAGGGCATTGACTGTTGACCAGACCACACACTACAAAGTGACGACGACGTTTCGGTCCGTCCTGGACCATTCTCAAGTCGATTGTGAGAATGGTCCAGGACGGACCGAAACGTCGTCGTCCCTTCACTTTCTAGTGTGGTTTGGGCAACATATTTCAGCCTCGTTATTGTGACTCCTCGTCTGCAAAGGGCATGATTGTTTAGTTGTAACGAGGTTGGTAATCTGCGTCTGTGTTTTTCCCCAAAGACTGAGCACATCCCTACCACCAGCCTTATCTATGTAATCACCCCTTATCCTAATCCCCAACCCAGAGGACAAACCCACCAATCACAGTCCTCTAATCTACCCCCCCCTCCTATCCCTCGGGGATTGAACCCCGACCTGCATGAAGCGAGACCGTCGCTCTACCGTCCAGCCCAAGCGGTAAAACAGACTATCATGAAATATACTAAGCTGGAGAAGGGGAAACATGACTATATATTATACGTAACCTGACTGTGAGTGTTCAACGATGGAAGGTGAACAAGGGGATGAACGAGTGAGATTAACGTAGCACATTAGTGTACGGAAACTAACGAAAATATCACTATTCCACGAACTTTAGATATTTAGAGTGAATTGATTTAGAACTGACATTTCTAACGAAATAGAACAGTCCCTCGGCTCTAACTTAAAATATTTAAAAAATATTACACTGGACTGTATTAATCGAAAGTGTGTATGTGTGTGTGTGTGTGTGTATGTGTGTGGTGTGTGTGGTGTGTGTGGTGTGTGTGTGTGTGTGGGTGTGTGT